TAGATTTTATTAGAATATTTATCGCTGGCAATATTTCCTGCTAAGATTCACAGAAGTCTCATTATTATATTATAATATATTACATTGCTTGGAAAAATCTTTTAGCTAAAATGTTTAATAAAATTTCAAAACAAATTAAAGCTGAAAATTGTATTAAAATACAACATATACAGATGAGCTAATAATGAAAGATTTTTGTCATCAAAAATAGGTTTTGTTTATAAAATTCAATATTGGTAAAGTAAAGCAATTAATTATTTCTGCGTTAAAAGCAATTCAAAACTACTTTAAAAAAGAATATGTTTTATAAAGTTTCCCAATTTGAAAACTAATTAGAAAGTGAAAATTGTTGAACCTCAACATGTTCTGTTATTCAACCAGCGTTTCTCATTTTCGGTTCAAATATCGTCAATAGTAGTAAGCTGTATAAAATGACCAATCTACGTTGTTGGTCAGTTTTTTAGGAGAGTACCCGTTTGCGTGTTTGTTGAGTTGACAGGTCAAGGAACCCACATTGAAGTTGATGGAGTCACACTGACCCGAGTGACGACAACGATTCACGCACTGCATGACACTTCTGCTCTTCAAGGACGTCATTTTATATCCAGTCAAGTAGGTGCCGGCTTGTCTTTTCCAAATTAGAGAATCTAATTTGATAAAATTGTTTTCATCTTGTTAAGCCACATAATTAATTTTTATTTTTCTATTAGATTTCGAAAAAATTTTTAAATAATCTGTTTATGGGTGTCGAGATAAAGTAATTTCAACACTACTCGTATAATAATATAAAAATTTGTAAAAAAATATGTTGGAGTTAAATGATTACCTTTATTAACTGGTTCATAGGCCTCTAGCTCGCAAATAGTGAAACTTCCATCTAACGAGTTTGCGCCAGCCTGCGCTATTAGGTACCTGAACTTCGGGAGGTTGGCATTGCATTTCAACTCCACTTTGACTCCGAGTTTAACCGAACCAGGCCAAGTTGCACACATTGGGTAGTTGTCTCTGACTGGAGCTGATCTAACGCTGTCCATATTGGTCAGTCCAATTATGAAGTTGTCCATTCGATGCATGATCTTAATGAGAACAGAGCTATCCTTATCTTTGAGTTATGACGTAGTGTTTGATATTAGGCCATGTTATTTGTGACAAATTATATACAACGATGTGTAATTTATTTTACATCATTTGCGTTGTTATGGCCTTTTAATCTGGTTTGAATTTTGTCTGTCCGAAACTAAAGAGTGTCGTGTCCTGTCTGCGCCTACGTACAATTGCCGTAGAGTGCAAATTTGATGCAAATATGGGAATGAGATTCGATAAAAGCAGACTTTAGAAATGTAAGTTTTAGCAAAAAACAACTTTTAAAGGTTTATTGAA